AATAACACTGTCAAGAAACATGGAGTTATGGTCACTATTGTATAAAATGTACAGGTCAGTAATAATGCTTCCTACCTTTGATAGCTGTGGATTTATCTCCTTTCTCTGCCTGTGTAAGCCATACTGGGCTGTGCTGGTAAAGCTCTGCTGTTCTCTCTGCTGATGACCCTAATCTGTTCCACAGCTACTGGAAATCATGCCATGCTGATGACAATACGGGTCATCTCCTATTAAATCTCCTCTTGTCTAAGTACAGCACTCCTCACAGAGCACCAGCAGAAAACATACTCCGAAATCAGCTGTAATCTTAAGATAAAGTTGCAGTTCTGTGCTGTTTCCTATTACAGGACAACATTTTGAAGGTTACTTGATGAAGTAGATGAAGACATTAATTTTTAACTTTTGGACATCTGGATTCAAAGTAAAAATAATTTTGCGCTGTAATCCAAATTCTCAGCTGTCTATTCTACAAAATCTGGCATAAATAGTCTCTGGAGGGACCCAGGATCTGCAGAGCAAAATTCAGGTACACTCAAGTTTTAAGAATCTTGTGCTTGACTTCCTATTTTAATGTATTTAATAACTTTTGTACCTGTGTTACTTTTAAAATGTTTTTATGACAAAATGGCATGATAATGTAAAACATTCTGTCCACAGTTGATGATAATATTGAATAGAAGTTTTAAAAACACCTAGGTGACATCAATGGCTGGAGCCTAGTTTCAGAAATTTTTAGCTCATACGTGCTTACACTTCTTTCAAAGACAAGGGAGACTTAGGATCCTAAGTAAATAAGGGCCATTATTGCATCTCACTTTGCAGATAGATAGGGAAACAACATCATCTGTGCAGTAGCACCCTGTTTCTGTTTGTTCTGTCTATTCTTTCACAGGAAAAGCAGGGAAATTGTGTAGCTTGCCGAATGTTCCTCAAAACTGGCAATTATAAATAGAGAAAATAAAACTCTGTGTAGAGCATCAGGCTAAGAAGTTGACATGCTTCTAGTACTTCAGCTAGATAGTTCAGAATATGACATGACTATAAAATATAAATTAATTCAAAGTACAGGTTCTGATACACACTTCCTTACTCCCAGTTTCACAACATACCTACTAGATTTTGCTGCAGCTGCTATATGTAAATGAGTTTAAATCTAGATAAACCAAAGCAGTTATCTGACAGGTAAATAATATCTACACAGCCCCCCCAAAAGCCCATTAACAAGAACTCACCAAAATGATGCTACTTGCTGTATTATAAAGCAGATTTCTTACCAGAGTGTCCACAAAGTTGAACAGGCTCTAGGAATACTGAAGTTCACAGCAGGGGCAATGCTTTCATTTAATTTGGTATAAAAAGGATTGGGTGCATGATTAGGAAAATATTTACTATGTTATGTTGTTCATTTTATTATATTCTAGCTGATAATATTTTTTTAGCTCAGTGTTTTTAAACTTTTTGATTAAAGGACTGTCAATTTGTTCTGGAGAAAATGTAAAAAAGCCACCTTGTGCTGAACTTCTTGTGATATATGAGCCTGAAAGACTTTAACTTAAGAATGTTACTGGTTTACAAAACTGTAATTTTTACTGTTATAATAACATACATTGTTTACAGCATCAAATACTCTTTCTAGTAGATGCAATATGAAATAATTATTGTAATACACATTGCAGAGGTAATATAATTTCAGCCCACCCAATAGCTTCCTATAGATAAAGAGATCCTCCATGTCTCCTCTTTCAGTGTGTCTCACCTTGCTGCTGGCTGCATAAAGTTTATATCACTTCTCACATTCATGTTTTTTTGGCTCAACAAGTTGACTTGGCTCAACAGAGGGTGTGAAGACCACTATCTTCAGTGCAAGGGAAGAAGTGGGACAGCACAGCCAGGAACAAGAAGGCAGGCAGACACAGGACTGCTTCCTTTCATTGAAGGTAAGCACTTAGTTCAGCGTAGTTGTAACATGTAACCTCACCTTTAGAATAATTCAATCCTATGCCAACATATAAACCAAAGCTATCAAATTATTTGAGAAATAAATTAACAGGTCCTGTGCAAGTGAAAGAACAACTTTCACCTTGAGAAACAGAAGGATTCTAAAAGGACTCAGTGCTTTCACACAAGCTCTCGTTATCGGCACTCTTCAGTTCTTCCATAAACATGAATCTCAACAAGGTGCTGATCTTTCCTTTGAACCAACTGTCAATGCCAGGGGGCTTTGAAAGGTTGCAGTTACTAGACAATGGGTGCTTAGGTTTACCATATATGACATTTATTGGAAATACACTAGACTGTACAGTTTAACTGCAAGTGTAGACCACAATAGACCAATCAGCAATGTTGTAGGAAAGGGTGGTTAAGTTTTTTTTCTGTTTTTTCCAAAACAAACAACTGGTTTACATTTATAGTTAACTGCTATATGATTGAACAGGTGCTGACACCCATTATCAGCAAGAAGAAATACTTCTCAGGTTGTCGTGGTTTAACCCCAACCAGCAACTAAGCACCACATAGCCACTCGCTCACTCCCCCCCCTGCAGTGGGATGGGGGATGGAATCGGAAAAAAAAGTAAAACTCGTGGGTTGAGATAAGTACAATTTAACAGAACAGAAAAGAAGAAACTAATAATGATAATAGTAACACTAATAAAACGACAATAGTAGTAATAAAAAGATTGGAATATGCAAGTGATGCACAATGCAATTGCTCACCCCCTGCCGACCGACACACAGTTAGTCCCTAAGCAGCGATCCCCCTGCCCCCACTCCCCCCAGTTTATATACTAGATGGGACATCCCATGGTATGGAATACCCCGTGGGCCACTTTGGGTCAGCTGCCCTGACTGTGTCCCCTCCCAACTTCTTGTGCCCCTCCAGCCTTCTTGCTGGCTGGGCATCAGAAGCTGAAAAGTCCTTGACTTTAGACTAAACATTACTTAGCAACAACTGAAAACATCAGTGTGTTATCAACATTCTTCTCATACTGAACTCAAAAACATAGCACTGTACCAGCTACTAGGAAGACAATTAACTCTATCCCAACTGAAACCAGGACAGAGGTACAGTAAGCCGTTTTGAAAGTACTTCATTTCTATTGCTGACTGAAGAAAGTGGTATTATTTTAGTGTTCATAAAGACACAAGTTGTTTCAGTGTCACAGTAAATGTAGGATTTTGCTTTCTTCCATGGTAGCAGCTTTCATTTCAGATTGTCAAAAGCAGTACCTTGCAGAACAAAGAGTAGTAGGCAATTAGCAAGGTGCACAAACACAAGTCTTAGTGCAGATGGATACATGGAAGCTAGACAACTACACACCATTGAAAAAAATTAAAACCCTATAGATCAGTTCTTCTTAGAATGCCTTGCAGTTAATGTAAAACAAGTTAATCCATTATACTGCTGCTTTAGCCATCCTGAGCCTGTTTAAATCAAGAAGTGAAGGACAAGGACAAGGTGGGTGTAATTTACAGTAAAAAAATCTTTACGAAGTTAACACCAAAATCCCACCACTGGTATGGCCAATTCTTATATTAAACCTGAGGAAAAGTAATTTTTGCATTCCTTGTTTCAACTTTTAGATACAAATCAGGTAAGCAGTTTCATTCAGAAGAATCTTTCCATAGGCATCTGGCTATGTCCATACAAATATTTGAGAATTCAAAGGCACTGTGCTTAGTGCTTAGTAGAACAGCAGATGATGTAAGTGTTCAGTCTCAACAGAAGAGAGCATTAAGCTTGCCAAGACCTCAACTTCCAGCTACTGTAATTTAAACTTCTGGTTTTAAATTAACTGTAACAGCATTTCTAGATCCAACTTGCTTTAGAAGGATGCTTTGGAGACTTGTAGCATGTCCCCCTCCTGGCAGAAATCCTTAGTACCTGTGTTGGGAGTACTTAAGGGTCACAGGAACATGAGAAAATAATCCAGAATAATTAAGACAATGAACAGCAAGGAAACCTAATGATCTCTTGGTGAAAACTTCAGAAGACAGGCAGTGAGAACAAAAGATTTAACAGTGCCATCTCAAATATTCTCCAGGCCATTGAACTTTGGATCTAAAGCTTACTCACTGCTGTTCTATTTCTCCGCAAATTTGTATGGGTGAATTTGAAGTTTACTGATGTAAGCCTAAATCTGCAGATAAGGTAAAACATGAATCCATTTAGACAAGCTTAAGCAGGTACGGATCCACCAGGGACCACACCACTGATTTGTTCACATCACATTCTTCCACCTCTGTCCCTTCTGCTCTGCCCCCCCCCCCCCCCCTTTTTTTTCCTTTCTTCCTGGTCCTTTAGTTTTGTCCCTCCAGCTGTAGCTCCTTTCTCTTACCTGCCTCCTCCATTCCTTCTAACCACCAGAACCCATAGCTTCTCTGCACTACCTCAGGTCACACTCACTGCAGTATCGGTGCATTCATCCATAGCACTCTACATTCACTGGAGCACTGCCAGCCATGACATAGCCCTGCCATGCACTGTGAAGTTGATCCAGAGGGAACATACGACTTGAAGTGACTAGTGAAGAAACCATCAGAGTATGTATGCATACTGAGCAGAGGGCAGGCATCTGCTTCCATCTGCAGTGGGACAGCACATAGGTTGTAACTGCTGCACACACAGTCCTCCACTCCCCATCAAAGCCACTTTAGGTGCAGTCTCCTATTGTGAGAATTGGGGGTAAACAGACAAGCTGTTACATGACTTGTACAAACCCAAACATTTTGTTCTCTTCTGCTCTCAACAATAGTATTAGATTCCACATGCAGAGAAGCATTCCTTAACAGGTAAATTGTGGCATACAAATCTCAGTCCAAGTAGACTGAAAATCTTTCCACAGGATCTAGCAAACTGTGAAATCTGGTCACATGTCGGATTTGCAGAAAAGCAGAGTTATTAAGAAACAAAAAAGACCACAGCAGCTGTGAATGTGCATTTTAGGATATGCATTTCAATAAAAGAAGCTACTAACTCCAGAGTATTTCTTCACCTCCCTCATTTTAGATTACTCGCCTAGTAGTTATAAAAATCAAATAGATCAGAAAGTTTCAGGAACTAGCCAGAACTCAGATAAAATTTTATTTAAAAAGCGCCACATACAGAAAGCCATACTTTGACAGAATGAGAATGCAGGCATATAAATAAAATAGAAGAAAATCATGATCTTTCAAGAAGTTTTTGAATGCTTGCAAAAATTAACCAGTAAGTTTTTTTCAGTGCAAGGGCAAACCGTGAGTTGAGTTCATATGTGCAGTCCTTAGCGCAGAAAAATTAGGAAAAGAACAAATTGACTTAAAAATAACAAGTGATGCTAATGGCTAAACAAACACTTAAAATGACTTTCAAGCATTGCATATTTTTATCAGAAATGATGGTACAGTTTTGCAGAAGTTTCACATACACTTTTTAAATTGAAATGCTATTTCAGTTGTAATAATCTCCTGTAAAAGCATGGCAAACAATGATTTCAATTTAGTAAGGTAGTCTGAAACTGTTTCTTTTTAGAAAAATATTTAGCATAGTTAAATTTTTAAAAGTCTTTTATATATATATACACACACACCTGTTTTCTTCCCCCTACACAAATCTTACAGAAGAATGTGTTCCCGTGTCTTTACCACTTAAAATAAGCTCTGGTTCTCTATATAGCAGACACTGTTCAATAGGCAATTCTGATATAACAGAAACAGCATGCAACATAAAATATGCTGGGACAGGTGACATTACAGTTCTTAATGGCTAAAAGAGAGTCTTGAAATTACTGGTAAGCTTAGAATCAAAATTCCAGGAAAAACCTCTGGCACCAAAATACAAGCATCAGCTAATTCAGGGCTGTGTCCTTCCATTTTTCCTTCACACTGAAGGAGCCTCATGGGACAGATAGCCCCTGCTGAAGTCAACAGGACTACCAGCAGACTGGTATACTGTGTAAGGAAGAATGTCAAGGTCTAACTTTTAAGTGCCCACAGCTAATGACTGGTGGCAGTACCAAGAATCTACAGCAAATACCAAGAAACAAACACAAACTGTAGAAAACTTTTTATTCTCAAGGTTTTCATTTGAAGAGCCTTGTATTGTAAGCAAATTAGTTCAGAAGGTAAAGGAACTTCTGGAACTTAGAACACTTTAAATTAAAGGACAACACAATGTTCAGTTGATGTAACAGGTTATTTTTGAGGCATGATCAAGTTAATGTGTACATCGTTAACATTCTTTAATATTACTTCCTCTTATGTTAAGGTATTGCTTTAGCCAACTTCACAAAAGTTTTTTTTAGTCCTCTAAATGGTTCTTTGCAATTTTGAAGTTAACACCTACTATTCTTAGATGCCCTAGCAGCTTGCAAGATTTTAAGGCTCTATACTTGTTGCACCCCTTTATTCAATGGGCTTTTAGAAACAGAGATACTTATTACAGAACTTTAAGATAAAATTTTATTTTAAGTTACTGCATGCCCAGCTCATTAATGTTGCATTTAGGAATAGAATTTAGGTCTTAGTAGATAAGAGACATTTTGTACATTTTACCTATACTGACTGAAAAACAATCTGAGTACCATGTTAGTTTAGCCAAACAAGTTAAAAAGCTTATCAAAAAATATTTTGTACATTCTTTTGTATTTCAAGCATCAAGTAATAAACTTTCTTTTAAACCAAGTTGTATCACACAACTATCAAAAATTAACAAACAGAACAATGCTGGAACAAACCATTCTGCTGAATTTTGGGCTTGGTCCCAAAAGAGGTAGTCCATAAGTCACACAAAAATAAAAATTCCACAGAAGTTAACCTAACATGCTAGTCTCCTCCACCATATGCAGCCTCATCACTAAATGAGGCTATTTCATATATGAAAACATTATAAGTTAGTGTTCATGTAAATAGAGGAACTATACTTTAAAATTACTTCTTCAGCTGTAACTGAAATTCGGTCCAGCTGAACCAATATATTAACTAGGCTTTGCGCATCAGCCTCATTAGTAAGAATTCAGCTTTTCTCCAAATTAAATTTGAAACATGCCTAATACACAGGTATGCCTTTAAATAACAAAGGATACATGTATTTAGGTTTGGAGAGAAGCTTCAGACTGTTAAACTTTGTTAGTAATACAGGTATATTTACTATCATTTCTCTACAAATGCTGCTGCTGCCATTGAATTCCTCATGGTTCCTCTTGCTGAAGCTGCGAACTCTTCAATTTCAGCATTCAGTCTATTAATTACCCATTCCAATGCTTCACGGCCCTACAGTTAAAGAGAAGTTTATCAGTGTATAAATCTTAGTAAATAAGTAAATAGGTTAAACCCTATCTTACTTAAAATTATTAATTACACAATAATTGAAAAAGGAAGAAAAGGTACAGAAATACATGCCTCTGATATTTTTTGCTTCAATAACCAGAGTACTGCAGAAATATGTACTGCCTTACATTTCATGAAAAAATCCCTTATGTCAGCAGTGCTCACATTATGAACCACAAAAGACTTTATCCAGATTGTTTTATCATTCTTGAGGCTGAACTCAAGACATCTTTGGATTCCCAGAGGACAGACTCTCAACTAAAACACCACTTCATTACTCCCACGTAACTACTTCAGATCTGTCTGGATGTATATCCTTTTTCAACAGTAAAAACTAACAGATGGCATCCAGAGGGCAGCAAAACTGACAGCAGCAGACTGTTAAGTGAGTGGAGATGTTTTTTCCAGTGAAGATTCAGAGAGCTTTGCCAATAATAATTTATTAACTCCATTCACAAGAGGAAAAAAAAGAGGAAGTTCAGCAAGCTGAGCATTCAGTCTCCACAGTAAAGGCAGTAGAACTATGCAGAGCCTTCCTAAGATTGCCAAAAGAAGCCAAAAAAAAGAAAAAAAAGAAAAAAGGAAGATATTTTTATTCCCTTTGTCATTAAGCCAGTGGTCACACATTTTACACAAGGGTCATACTTACTTTATTAGCATTGGAAGAAATTGTGTTTGCCATTAGCCCTTCTAGGTAACTGCTAAGACTGACACCTTTTACAGATATTATTGCTTCTTGTGTCAAAACGGTTCTGAAACAGAGAGCAGGAAATGGAATTATTCCGAGTAGTTTTAAAAAAGAATGCATTGCTGAAAGAAACTCACTCCTCTCCAACAAGTACATTCCCTCATCAGCTTCACTGTAGAACACAGAACGTCTTGCCCCATAAACACAACCCACTTCCACAGTGCTTAACTGCATAGAACAAAAACCAAGAGTCCCACTAAGTCCAACTGTCCCTTTGTGGCACTCAACTATTTCCGTCTTTAGCACCAGGAAGTTAAGAGTGGAAACAGCAGATCTGGAGTGAAGGTAAACTGGGAAAACAGTATTAAGACATCCCCTTCAACAATAAGGATTTAACATTTCTGACTGTCACGAGAGGAAAAAACCTCTTATGTTAGAAACCCTAGAAAGATCCTTCAGAATTATCACTAGTTCCAGCAGTATAGACTCAGTAAGCTTTAAACTTGCCTTAAAAAAAAACCCAAATCAAACACCAAAACCCAAACCTCCAAAACTATAGACTGAAGGCAGATAAATGTGGCTTCTAGTGGTGGTTCTGTGCTCAGGCTGATGAAGAGATCAGAAATAAGGAGCTGATAACTGAAGATGTATACAAACTCAGTTACAGATACGACGTAGGACAACTCCCTGAAAAGCTTATCTGAATTGGACTCCATCATAGCATGACACTAAGTTTCCTAGTAGTGCTCTGCAGAAGCAATGTCACTAGAGAAAATGACAGTCCATTTAATTCTTTTTTAGACAAGTTACCGTAACAGAGGTGATGTAAACCTCATCTTCTGTTCAAGGGAAACCATGGAAATTTTCAAAGCCAAAGTCTGTTACTACTACTTCAGGGCAATCTCAGAACAAAGAGGTACTTACTTGTCTGGTTCATGAGGGTGTGGTTTATAGACAAGCCTCTCATCTACTGACACAAGGTTTGTGAATGAGATCTGTAGAACATAAGACAAGATTACCCCTTGATAAAAATATTGAAGGAATGTAGTAAATTAAACTGCAGATTCAAAACTAATGCTTATATCCAATTTAAACATTATACTTTTCCTGCAAGAATTAGCGTTGTAGAACAAGGTAGAGAAATCTCCAAGTTCAGCATTTGCTGATTTAGTTCTCTTTCCTTAAGTTTTTGGATCATTTACCAATACAGACTACCACATTTACAAGAATATTTCAACAGTGGTATCAGACAGATGAAGTAAATGTTACATGGCTAGGAAACAGTGACAGTGTACACCAAATGGCTTTTAAAATTTTTTTCTTAACATCCCTGCTGCTGCCCCCAAAACTACTCCTGTCCTGCTCATCAGTATGTTCAGATGCTTCGGTCCTGACAAGTTCCAAAAACCTAGTAGCTCCTTTCTGAAAAACAGAACCAGTCAACTATAAACACATTATTTAAACCTTTAACTTGTATTGTTCTAATACAAATTTCAAGTTAACATCAAGATGATTTTCCTTTTCAAATTTACAAGGTATTATTATAATCTGTAATCTCTTTCAACTGCACAAACACAACTACTTACATTACTGGATTTAAGCTCCATTGTTTTTTTCACTGGGTCAACAACAGAGTGCTCCTGAACATATGTCTTTGTTCTGCACGTGCCAATGAGCTAGAAGACAAGCAAACATATATGGAATTAATTATGCTAACCAACTGCCATTTTTTAGCGCCTTTAAATGCATAACTAGTGGTTACTGTATTGAACAGACACCGAGACAACAGAATTAGGGTTTAGCTTAAAATAAAACTATTCAGTTGATCTCATTTTCAAGATGGACCCAGTCTAAGATCTAGGCAGCTTTTGGCTATCAGGAAGTTGTTACGTGTACTGCTGTTGAGCTTTCCTGATACATAAATGCTTACGTTTTTAAACCATTAAAGTTACGAAATGATACAGGCCTATTACAACACCTGGTTCACAAGCTTCCCCTCCCTCCGGCACCCTTTTCAAGCTCTGCGATACAATACATACTGATTTCACAATGGAGGGTATTCCCCATTCAGTACTGAGGAGTCTGTGGCTGTGCAACTTCCCACTAGGGTCTACGTGTCTGTCCAGGACATCAACTCCAACCACACTGGGGTTCATGGGATTTGGGTATTTCTGCATGGCAGCCGTCGTGACCGTTTCCCAGGGGTGACTGCCAAAACAGAATCAAGACACAAAGTTGTACGCCTTTGTTTTTTAACAGGATTTCTATTGAATCCTATTGAATCTATTGAATGTGTTCTACTGAACACAACACATCAACTGATTTGTATTTTTAAAGCAGTTCAATTTCTAGTTCTAGACCCTACTAATATCCTTCCCTAGAGGAAAACACCTGTTTTGTGGATTGGAGGGTGGTACATGCAAGTTCAGCATACAATACACCTGATTAATCAGGACTCCTGAGTTTAATTAGCTTCTGGCTTATAATGTGATAAGAATGTTTTCCCTATGACATGACACTGGAAGATTGCAATTTTTTCCGGTTTCAGCAGCACTAGAGTAATTCATTAAGTTGTTCCTTTCCTCTGACAAGCATTTCCTTCGGATTATTTTTCAGCACGGGCGTTTCGGAGCCCTCGAGCCCCGACAACACGAAGCGACTCAATGCTTTGGTCAGTCCTGCACCCCGCAGGCGAGGACAGCGCAAAGATACCCCGTAAGGCGGCCGACACCGCAGCTGGATCCGCGTCGCGCAGGTACGCCTCCCGGTTCGGTTTGCAGGCGGCTTCCACAGGCTCACCGGCTGCCTCCCCAGCCGACGGCAGTCACCCCACACGCTGCCCGCCCCGCTGGCGGCAGCGGCGGCGCCCGCGTTCCGGTAGCCGGGCAGCACCCCCCAGCAGAGCGGCCTCAGAGCCGGCGAGCGGCTCCCCACGGCGGCAAGGACGCGCAGGGGGAAGGTCAACGGAGGCGAGCGAGCCGCGGCGGCCGGAGCAGGGCTGC